TGAAGCTCCTTCAGAAATATTGGTAGCGCAGTCTCTTTCTGAGCTTTGTATCATCATGGATGTTATCAAGATGCACTTCTCTGTTACGTAAACTGTCCCTGAATGTTGGGACATGTCAAAACAAGTAACACACAGTCCCAAAGGAAAGAAAGTAAAAAATGTCAGGAAAGAAGTTCTCTATGCAATCATTTATTTATTTAAAATATTTTTACCCTGCTTTTCTCCTTAAAAGGATCACAGAACTGCAGTTTTATACACCAAGAAAAGTGGTAAACAATGCTTAGTTACTGAATAAGACAAACTAAGCACTATGTTGCTGATATGAAGCTGTATTTTAGCCATGAATTCTGCTGCTGATTTTCAGAAACTTCAACACAAGATCACCAACCATCTCTCGATAGTCTTGTGTTAGTAAAATCTACTAAATAACATTAGTAAAATTAATGACTGAAATCTTGCTGTGCAGTTATGCAGATTTTAGACGTGATTCAATATGCAACAGATAATGCCTATGGAGATTTCTCAGTAGTTCACTTCCAAAATATGAAATATTATTAGTAAAATTATTGTGTATCTGTCTAATCAAAAGATAAATGAATACTGTTTAAAAAGTTAAAAATAATGACCACCATTCAGCCAATTTGGGTGTGCAGCCCCTGGGCTGCTGGCATATCTGAAAATTCTCCCTTGACCTTGCGGAGATAACACATCCCTCTTCTATAGGTTCATGCTATAGAAATGCATTTGAAAACGGTCTAAGTTGGTAGCTCTACATAGAGTTGTTCTTGGAAGCCTATGGATGACTCTTCCTCTCTTGGAAGATGAGCACAGTAATGATTAACAGTATTAAACTAGTGAGAACCTCATCAACATTATTTTGGAGATGTTAGCCTTTGCCCCCTTTAACATTCATGTCTGGAGCCCCGTTGGTTTTTGCCCCCTTTGACCTGAAGAATTACGAATTTAACATTCATGTCTGGAGCCCCGTTGGTGTTCACATAAGGTTTGCGTAACGTGCTATGCTAATTGCAGCAAAATGGTGAGGTGCCAGGGCTGCATCTCAGCTGTACAGTCAGATTCATTACCAGGTATGTGCCTGAGACAACCCCTGGTCCATCATCAGTTAACTGCAACTTGGGCTAATATGTTGTAATTAATATGCTATTTCCAAATTCTGAATCTTTGTGTGAAATCATATATTTTAATGTGATTGTCTGGTTGTCCTTTTAAGAGCATGTTAATTTGTCAATTAGATTGGGAATGATGGCTTGTAAAAGAAAACAGTTCTGGAAAAGAATATTAAAATGCAGTTCCAAAGTTTGAAGAAAATGATCTAAGAATTATTATGTCATAAAACAGTTTTATGTAGCTTCCCTCAAGAGGTTCTCCATTGTAGTTCGCTCCTGCTTTTTTTTACCTACACTTAATTTGCTTAAAGTGGTTGACCAGTGCAGTTTCTGGGGGAAAGTGCTGGGAAAAGGAGCAATGCTCCCCCTTACACCAGTCACTTGGCAACAATAAGTATGTAAGTAGCTGAGTTAATGGGAACATGGAACAGAGTTTTGATAAGCTGTACTAATGGGCCATCATTGCGCTTGATGGTTGAAATGTTTCAAGCTATCACTGTATTGATTCTGAACATCCCTTGCTGTTACGTTTTTGGAACTGAGTTTGATTCTGAGAGTTTTAGCTGTTATCAGACTGAATATATAGGCTGGAGTGTGGAATGGTCTCTTCCCATTTCCTTTCATTCTTTCTTCCAAATTCAGTGCTCAGATTGACAGGTCCTTGAAAGACAACTGTAATAAGCCAGATCCGTTTGAACAATGAAAATATATATGCGAACACACACAATTTGTAGAGCTTTGCTTGCAACTTTGATTATAAAGTATGAAATGCTCAGTCCTGGAGATATAACGGAAGCTCTGAATCAATTGCTTGCTGGAAAACTAAGCAAACTATCAAATTCCCCCAAACAATTTTTTAAAAGAATCTTGCCTCTTGCTCTGGCATTCACCTGGATCTTATTTGGCTATTTCCTTGTGAGGGTTTCTGGGGCAAGGTAGAACAAGAATATGGGCACTAGACTATTTTCCCTCATGCAAAATCCAACGATTCTGTTCAAAGGCAGAGCTCGAAGTCTCGGCGAAGGATTTGCAAAGGTATTATGGCATCTCCTCAGTTGACACATTGCATTTTAATGAACTTCATAATTATCTGTGGGTAGAGGACAAATAACAGTGGACCATCAAAAGCCATTCAATGCAGATAGTATATCTAGTGGCCTTTCAGTGGCATCCCTATTAATGGAATCTGACTTAATGAAATTTTAGTTGGATATTTTCACACTGGAGTTTCCTTGTGAGGTTCTGTTAGAGGATGCTTCTAATTCATAAGCACAGTTTCACAAAAGACTGAATTATTCTGTCTCTGCTTTCTGAATGCTGCCATCTTTAATATCAACTTTGTCTACGTTTGTTGTCTTCTACAGAGTCCAAATTGTTCTGATCTGTATGGAAGACAGGAGAGCAATGATGCTGTGTGATAACATACCGTATTTTTCGCACCATAAGACACACTTTTTTCCCACAAAACAGGGGGGTGGAAAGTCTGTGCGTCTTATGGAGTGAAGAAAACAGATTATATTTTCCTGTTTTCTTCTCCTAAAAATAGGTGCGTCTTATGGAAAGTTGCGTCTTATGGAGCGAAAAATATGGTATATCACCTTATTGCATGAGCAAGTGAATGAGTTCTTGCTGGTGTAATGATAATATATGATTATCTGTGTAGATAGGGGAAGTTTGATGTGCTGCTGGTCTTCAGCTCAAACATACCCCATTGTGTTATCTGGGACTTTTTGGATGGATGGGTTGGATGATAGTCCTGCCTCTTCCACCCTCACCACAAACACTTGGCATGCTACTCCTCCTGTCTGCTTCATCTACCATAGTGACCCCATCCAGAACTTCTCTTGAGAGAGTGACCTATAGTTAAAACTATTTTGAAAGGCTCCCCCTGGCCCATCCCCTCAGTATCAGTGGAAAACACTGTTCATTCCTTGGATGTGTGAGAGAGTGTTGGCTTTCTATATATTGGGAACAGATTAATGTACACAATCTTGGCTTTCCTTGGGTCATTCTGGACTTTTTTTTAAAAAGCAGGCCATATTCTATCTAGAGATATGTCAGGTGGGTCCTGAGCTCAGTCACACATTGGTTTACCAGATGGTCATGAGATTTCTGCCTAGTGCCCCTAAAGCTATTCCACAGGGCTATAGCAACCTCTGTGATCTTTTAAGGAGGAGTTGTCTGTCTTGACTTGTGTCAAGCTGCAGTCTGGTCTCCGCCATCTCTACCTGTATCTGGATTATCATCTGAACACAATGTGCTGGAAGGATGCTTCTTTTGGAAATGTTATTCCCCATACTACGCTTCAAATACTTATCCTCCTGCCTCCACTTCTTAATTTGTGGAATTAAGATTGCTAGTCCTCACCAATTAGTGTGATTGCATAGAAGGAAACAGGTTGTCTTTTGGTCTTTGAATGATCATCTCTGTTTTCACAGGACCCAGCCTTTCTATCCCTTTCAGCATCTGCTGATCACAGAATGTTTTTCCTGTAGTTTCTGAATTTATAGGGCTGTGGAGTAGCATGCCAATACATGACTTGTAGATGGAAGGGGAAGGACTACTACCAAAACTGTCTGTCAAGAAGGTTCTGAAGGGCTGGCTGTGTGCAGGTCCAGACCCCTAGTGTGAATGTAGAAATGGCCACTTGAAGAACAGACATTATAAAGAGCAGTGTATTTGAAGGTACCATAATTGAAGCAAACTGTGCTGTATATATACCCCTCCATAGTGCTTGACGTTCTCTCTCTCTGGACAGTTTACAATTTTGCAGGCTACACATTGCCTCCTATCTCCCACCCTCGTGAACTGAGTATTCAGTTTACTGACCTCAGAAGGATGGAAGGTTGAGTCAACTTTGAGCCTGGGATCAAACTCAAGATGTGAGCAGAGTCTTCAGTGCAGTACTGCAGTTTAACTACTCTGCCACAAGGCTCATTACTGCTCTGTAGCTGTTTTAAGTTGTGAAACAGTTTTAGAAGAAGGACTGACATAGCTTCTCCCTTTCAGAAGATTTATTAGTTAAATAAATTTGTATCTCATCTTACTTAAAAAAAAACACCCTAATATAAAAACAAATACATTAAAACACTATTAAAAACACAAAATGACTTGTTTAAGATTCTGTCTTAGCTTTTGTTTCCCAGCCCTTGGAGGGTAGCACTGAACAAAAATCTGAAGATAGCAATAAAAGCAGGACTTGTATACAAAGTACAGTATACTTGGTATACTGAGTTGAAGTGTACTGATAATAAATAATGCAATTAAATGCCAAGTACGTTAGAATGGTGCAGAAATCCTAAAATACTGTCCATCTTGCATAACTTACAAAACTCAATTTCCTTTTTAAAAAAGAAGAAGACAGTAAGATCAAAACACCTTCATTTTACGAGAGTGTGTGGGTATAGGGGTATGCTGTAAATGAGTAAATGTCATGTTGATGAACGTTTGCTGTTTACATGGTACAGAAATTATACTGGGTGCTTTAATTTCTGTGCTTTGAGAGCAGGGCTTAAATTAATTGTATTCTTAGAAACTTAAGTTCTGACATTTGCATTTTGCAACAGAACGTTACACATTGAATTACTTGCTTCATGGACGTTTGTTGTTACCCTGTTATAGTTCTGCCACATATTTATACATATTTATATATTGTCTGTTCTTACGTCAGAATCAGGGCTTTTATGATGATGTTGCAATTAACCTGTCAGGAGTCCGTTCCCCATACGATTCTCCTGTTTTGACTTCTCTGGATAATGACAGGCTGTTAGCCACTTTTGTCCAGAATGCACATAGATTCGCGTTCTGCTTTCCACTATATTGATTTTGGGGCTGGTGTTTGAGTGTGTGTGTGTGTGTGTGTCTGCCTTCCAGGTACACAGGTACAACTCCATCACCCCCGCCGGGTTCGCACTACACCTCTCCTTCAGAGAACATGTGGAACACAGGTGGCGCCTACAACATGAGCACAGGGATGGCTGTTGCTGGTACTGTACTTTCTTGTCTGTCATTGCTGGGCTAAGCTAATCCACTGTTTTCCTTCTCAAATCAGTTTGGAGCCAGGGGTCCGAATAATCGGGACATCCGCCTGAAGTCTAGAGGGCCTAAACTCAATCTCTCTTTCTCTCTCTCTCTCTTTCTCTCTCTTTGAAGGTCCACTGGCAACTTCCCATATACATAGTTCATAGGTTGTAGAGCTTTTCATATATTAAAAGCAAAGATTGATGACTTTGGCAGGTTGTTTCTTGCCCTGCCCCAACCAGTTGCTACACAGACTGCTAAAAATTGGGGGGGGGGACCCAAGTACTTTGTGGATAAAATGCCTCCAGTTTGAAAAACGGATATTTTGGGGGATGATAAGTGAAGTGGTGAATTGGCTTCCCTGAGTTGCAGCCCACCTCTCTTTTGCCATAAAACAAAAGTTTTGAGGAGCCCATCGGGCCACTAATATAGCCTCGGGGTGGCAGGCAGCCCCATGGTGGGACCTGCCTGTGTCCTTGGTAAAGTGACAGCCTGTGGCAAGTATTATATTTTTATTTACACCCAGGGCTGAAAGGAAGCAAGGAAACTCAAGAGCAGCATGTACTCTGAGTTAAAGATCTCCAGCAACAGGCCTAGTGGGATAGGATCATTGGGGGGGGGGGAGAGAGAGCTTGCTGGCTGACCTGGCTGAGGGTCTAGATCATGCAGCGTCTCCTTGTTCCATGTAGGGATACATTAGAAGGAGAAGCTTATTAAGTCTTCATTATTGATAAAGCAAATCTTCATAGGTTTGCTCAAGACATGTTAGTTTCTTTTGTCTCTCCTTGTGTAGAAGGGATATAGATCTGGGTGCAGAATATCACGTTCCCATATTATCACCATTGAGGTGTTCATGGTACTGTTTGTCCTGGCAGCAGTCATGCAGCATACGTGGAACCTTCAGTCTGATGATGATTAGTGGTCTCCTCTTCAGAAACACACGGATGAAGTTAGGAAGCCCTCAGGAAGGGAGGCCCTTCCTTTTCCATTTGAAAACTCTTCTCCGTGTCTGCTGCCCTACTGGCCTACTGAGACGGACAACTGCCTTTTGCACTGGCCCTGTCATTCTTTTCTTGTTCTTTGTGTTTCTTACTATAATCATCATTTCCTCTCCACACTGGTAAATTATTTAAACACACTGGAAAATTGTAGGATTACTACTGGGAGAAGGTGCTTTTCCCCACATTCCATTGGGTCCTTAAGGTGTATGCTACTGTTTGAGGCACGAGCTAAATAGAAAGTCAGGATTCATTGTTTTGCCCCCTTGTGATGAAATGATATGGGGAAACATCTAATCCTGTAGCAGTGGTGGAGTAAAGGAGATGTGCATCTGGATGACTATTTAAAATTGAAGCCCTATGTAAGCTGCCTTGGGCTTTTCAGAAGAAGAGGAACAGAAGTGCAGTAAAAATAATTCTGCATGAAAGTACCAAGTTTCAAGGACTTTGTGCAAGGGCATTTTGGACTGCCTAGGATGTGGCTGTCTACTCTTCCAGTGAGCTAGATTAGCAGTTCCCAATCCTGGGCCCCCAGATGGGTTCATGGACAGCAGTTCCCAGAAGCCTTCATCACCAGTTGTGCTGGCCAGGGTTTCTGGGAGTTGCAGTCCAAGGACACCTAGATTACCCAAAGTTGGGAACCACTGGTCTAGAAAATACAGTAGTCCGGTGCCTGTTTGATGCCCTGCGCCCTGCAGTCTCCCCCTGACTCTGTAACTTCCCAGCTCCTAGTAGAGGACGTTTCTAGTTCTCTTCCTAAACACACCCATATACATGGAACAGATGCAAGAACATCCAGTTAATATGATAAAAGGTGAGGAAGTACCTATTTTGTTCTTGCAGACTGAGAGAAGCAGACTGAGTTCTGGGTTCACAGCAGCATCTGCCAGGCGAGTGTCTTCATGAACCATTCCATCCCTATTTTCTCTTAGAAGTTAAATATCCTGGCAACAACCTGCTCCTTCTGAGAAATGACCTGTAGGGAATGGGTGGCACAGTAAGCATATCTGCCAGATTATCTTGTGTGTCTGTAATATATTCCATGTAGTGACCTCTTTGACCAAACAAGGGCTAAGGAGGGTCTTTGAAAGCCTGCATTTCTATCTGTGTCTTGATTAGTGCCTTCCTCATTTCTTAATCCTCTTCCCTTTTATCTTGTGCTGCAGGGATGCCCACAGCCTATGATCTCAGCAGTGTGATTGCTGGTGGCACCAATGTTGGCCACAACAACCTTATTCCTCTAGGTGAGTTTGTATGCATTGTGGAGGGACTGTATTGAAATGGGAGAATCCCAGGAAGTGTAGTCTACATTGGTGAGCTGAAGGCCTCCAGGCTTCAATACTCCTGGCTGAGGGCTTGTGAGGAAACACTTTGAAAGACCACCTTGCTTCATCCTAGTTCAGCTTCTCATGTGCTGTGCCTTCGCTTGGCCACAGAATGGACTTTCTATTCCTTATCTTTGAGTCAATCACCTGCATTAAGCCCAAGGGAAGAGTATCCTAGCTGGCTGGTCAAAGCTAATGCTAGGAAACAGGGTGGTGGTGTCCAATCCGGATTCCATCCCAGTATTGCTGGCATTTTTAATTCACGCCCTAACTTCAAACCTTGTCGAATTGTTGCTTTTTAGTAACTTTTTTCCTTCCAGTAAGGATGGGCAGCTCCCATGGATTGGCCAGATGCTTGAGGGTTTGCATGCCCCAAGAGGCCTAAGAAGATGGATGGAGCTCAATAGGTTTTTTGACATCATATATTCATATTCATATATATATATACATCTGCCATTGTGTGCTGTCAAGTTGCTTACAACAATACATATACATCTACCATTGTGTGCTGTCAAGTTGCTTACAACATGCAACAACTCTAACACAGTTTTCAAGGTTTGTGAGATGTTCAAAGAATGGTTCACCAACGCCATCCTATCAGTTGGTTTCCCATCACTGTGTGTGGACTTGAACCCAGGTCTCCTGATGTATAAAAATATGTGTTTATAAATATATGTGTAAAGACACACACATATATACACCTATATGTACATGTAACATAGTGTGGCTCTAATAGTGAGTTGAGATGTAGCACAAATGGGAATATAATTGGAATTCTTGGAAAGGTTATCAACATAACCATCATTCAAGTCCCATGCTCCAACTAGAGGTACTGCAGAAGTGTCTAGGAGAAACAATCACACACCAGAGCAGGAGGTTCCAGTAATGATAGGTGACTGGAGCGCAGGAGTAGGAAACCAAACAGAGCCAAGGATTGTTTAGAGAGTTTGGTTTAAGAGTCAGAAATGAAAGCCGCACAGTTGCTCATAGAATTCTCAGAAGCCAAGTTTTTGTATTCCATACTCAAGCAACTAAAGAGATGACTTATACATGAACATCAGCGGATTGTCAGGATAGAAATTAGATAGACTGCATAGGCAAAAGAAGATGGAGGAGCTGTATTCTCTCTTTGAAAAAGACAAAAACCAGACTGGTGTATGTTATGAACTATTAATGTTAAAATTTAGAGTAAAGCACACTAAAACAATTGGGGTGAATTTAAAGTCCATGTGAAGGATGGATAACTAAACTCAGTTGATCCCAAACCAGAACTGTGGATGAAACCGGAGATTTTATTGGGAAGAATGCAAAAATACTGTGTTTGTAAAGAAAAAAAGCTTTGATGTCTGATGAACCTTTCAAAATTATTAATGACAGATTAGAAGGACAAGGAAGTGGTGCCAGGAATAGCGTCAGAATCTTAAATACAACTGTTCAGTGACATAGTAGGTGAAGTATTACAATAATGATAGCAAAGCTAAAGAAGAGAACAAAGGAGGGATTTCTTCCAAAGCATCCAGAATTTCAGTGGGAAATGTAAAGGTTAAGGATGCTGAAAGATCACCAAGGAATATATTATCTATTCAAGATAAAGCAGAGAAAAGCTGGAAACAGTATGCTTAAGAACTATACAGAAAAGATGCAAAGATGATAGATTTATTTGATGGAGAGTTTTCTGATGAAGAACCTATAATTTTAGAAAGTAAAGTAAAAGCTGCTCTCTGAGCACTTGGAAGAAATAAATTGGGATATCTGTAGCTCTATTTCAAGTTACAAAGACTGAATCTATCAAAATCCTAACAAGAATATGCAAAGAAATAGGGAAAACAAAACAATCACCCAAAGACTGGAGACGTTCAATATCTATTCCAGTCATAAAGAAAGGAGATGCCAAAGAATGCGGAAACCATTGCTGAATTTTCCTTGAAAGTAAAATGGTGCTCAAGATTTTGCAGCAAAGACTTTTACCAGTTATGGGGTGAGAAAAGCCTGAGGTTCATGCTTGATTCCAAACAGGAAAAGTTATGTAGCTTTAAATTTGACAAGATATCAAATAGTTAAGCATTTTCTATATTTTGGTTTCATCATCAGTTCAATTGGAAACTGCAGCCAAAACTTCAGAAAAAGACTGAGATGTGGCAATAACAAAGGAACTAGAAGAGAGCCTTAAAAGTAAGGCTGTGTAACTGGAAATAGTTCAGAATCAAGTCAAACTCCTTGCCAAAGCAAAACATCCACAAATTTTTGACATGTGGTCATCTAGCCTGTATTTTTTTTAAAAAAAAACCTCCTATGAAAAAGTCCTCAACCCTTCCACTGTCGAACAACTTGTAATATCAGTAACTTATTCCTAATGATAGGCAAAGCCACCTCTATTGTAATTTTATTCCATTACTTGACACCCTATCCTCTGCTCCATTTTCTGTGTAATAGTTCTTCAGATATTTCAAGATGGCTTTCATATCATTTTTTAGTCTTCACTTCTTCAGGCAAAACGCTTCTCTCTTATATGGCTTGGTTTCTACACTTTAGTATTCTGCTTATTTTCTGGTTATGATGCAGCTTCTCTGTACCCTCCTTCAACTGGTGCACAGAACTCGACACACACATGATATGAGATCTGACCAAAGCAGAATGGTATTATTACTTCCCTTGATTTTTACACTACACTTCTGTAGATATGCCCTGGTATAGTATTCACTTTTCTTTTGCTGCTGCTGCATCATATGGTTGGCTTATGCTTACCTTGTGATTTTCTAAGAATCCTAGATTATTTTCATGTGTGCCATTACCGAGCCAGCTGTTATATTAGTGCATTTGGTTTTTCCTCTATATGTAGACTTTTACATTATTCCCTGTTAAAATTCATTGCGCTTATTTTGGCCCAGTTTCCCAATCCGCTTAGGTTATTCTTTCTTCTAGAGCAGTGGTTTGCAACCTTGGGTAACCAAGGTGTTCATGGACAGCAATTCCCAGAAACCCCGGCCAGCACAGCTAGTGGTGAAGGCTTCTGGGAGTTGCAGTCTAAGGACACCTCAGTTACTAATGGTCGGGAACCACTGATCTAGATGTGAAAGCTGGAGAGTGAAGAAAGCTGATTGGGGGGGGGGGGAAGAGAAGATCCATTCATTTGAAATACATTGGAGGAATTCTTTACAGATACCATGAACTGCCAAAAAGACAAATAAGAGGGATTGGATCAAATCAAAACTTAACTATTTCTGGAAGTGGAGATGCTTTGGGAAGACATAATGGGAAGACAGGGCTTACTAGAAAAGGCAACAGCACTAGCCAGTCTTGAAGTAAGTAAAGAGGAAGCCTGAGTATGAGACAGATCAATCCATAAATGAAACCTTGGCGTTTAGTTTGCAGGACCTGAGCAGTGCTGTTAATGTTAAGATCTTTTAAACATAATTAGTGTACAGAGTTGCTGGCTTATAACAATGTATTTTGTTATGACATAACTCTAGCATTAGAAATTCCAAAAGTCTCACTTAAACATAAATTATTAGTAGTATACAATACTAATTTAGTTTCATTAAAATCATCCAGTGAGACTACATTAAAGAGAAATAAAATCAGACTACATTAAACATGAATTAAAATCAGCTAAATATTATATTTACATGACTAGAATAAATTAAACAAATTTAAAGAACCATATACTTCAGATTTTGTTGCAGGACCTGAGCAGTGCTGTTAATGTTGAGATCTTTTAGACATAATTAGCGTACAGAGTTGCTGTAAGTCTGAGGTGATTTGATGGCTTATAACAATATATTTTGTTATGACATACTTGTAGCAGTAGAAATTCCAAAAGTCTCACTTAAACATAAATTATTAGTAGTATACAATACTAATTTAGTTTCATTAAAATCATCCAGTGAGACTACATTAAAGAGAAATAAAATCAGACTACATTAAACATGAATTAAAATCAGCTAAATATTATATTTACATGACTAGAATAAATTAAACAAATTTAAAGAACCATATACTTCAGATTTTGTTATTTGGAAGAAGTAATAATAGGAGTAGTTAAATAACAAAAGTTTGCAAAAGCTGTTTTAAATAACATAGGTTGACTATGAAGGGAAACCTTGGAAAGAGGCTTGTAGTTATAGAAAATGAAACATTTCCTCTGCCGGTAAACACGGTTTAATAAACGCTGCTATCATTGAAGTAAACTTCCCATTTAGCAGTTTGCCATCGCATTTCAGTGGCAAACTATGACTTTTTTAAATATAATAATTAAGGCATTCAGGGTTGCAAAAAAAAAAAATCTTGGGGGCTTGCAATTGAGCTGCAGGGTACATTTTTCCTGTGTATGCATAACAGTATAAATGGTGTTCAAAATATGTATGCAGTAACTCATTTCAATGGAGGGAAACTAGAAAAATATGTATTGTGGCACATTTCAAACTGTAACATTCATTTCAGTATGAGCTTTAATGGATTACAGTCTACTACTTCTATGTTTCCCCGAAAATAAGACAGGGTCTTATATTAATTGTTGCTCCAAAAACGCATTAGGGCTTATGTTCTGGGGATATTTATTTGTTTTCATGTACAACAATCTACATTGATTCAAATACAGTCATGTCATCTTCTTCTGATTGCTGCCCAATGGTGGAGGGCAGGGTTTCACTTAACTGGTGCTTATTTTGGGGGTAGGGCTTATATTACAAGCATCCTGAAAAATTATACTAGGGCATATTTTCAGGGAAACATGGTTCGTACATCAGATTGTTTGTGAAGAAGCCAACTGTAATGCACAAAAGCTCCCACTGAAATAAAAGTGTTCGTCTAAAAGATGCCACAGTACTTGTATTTTTGCATTTTGTATTTGCTAATGATGCTATCTCTCTGATAACAGCCACATTTAAGTGGGTAATTGCGATTAATCTTTTATGCACTAA